TGAGCCACTTATGCATTCAGGAAGCGTTCAGAAAAAAACAAAACTCGAAGAAACTCGACACAAAGGAACATAAATACCTAACTGCCAACTAGCGTTTCGGAAGTGTTAATGCAGACCAACAGAGACAGCGCGCAGAAGTATAAATGCACAGCTACGCGCGTTGCATGCGCTGTGGGTTATGCCGGTCACTTGACGCAGAAGTATAAACCAAGCTTAAGTGAATGGTTACTGATTTCAACCATTCTTCAGTGTATCTTCCTTTGTGTTTACATTTACATTACATTACATTTAGTCATTTAGCAGACGCTTTCATCCAAAGCGACTTACAAATGAGGACAAGGAAGCAATTTACACAACTATAAGAGCAACAATGAATAAGTGCTTTAGGCATGTTTCAGGTCTGTAAAGTCTAAGAAGGAAAGCATTAGTAATTGTTTTTTTTTTTTGAGTACAGTTAGTGGTATATCCAGAGAGGCAATTGCAGATTAGGAAGGGAAGTGGAGACTAAAAAGTTGAGTTTTTAGTCGTTTCTTGAAAACAGCGAGTGACTCTGCCGTTCTGATGCAGTTAGGGAGTTCATTCCACCAACTGGGCAGATTAAAAGCGAGAGTTCGGGAAAGTGATTTCTTCCCTCTTTGGGATGGAACCACGAGGCGACGTTCATTCACAGAACGCAAGTTTCTGGAGGGCACATAAATCTGCAGAAGTGAGAGCAGATAAGAAGAAGCAAAGCCAGTAGTCGCTTTGTAGGCAAACATCAGAGCTTTGAATTTGATGCGAGCAGCAACTGGCAGCCAGTGCAAACGGATGAGCAGTGGAGTGACATGTGCTCTTTTAGGTTCATTGAAGACCACTCGTGCTGCTGCGTTCTGGAGCAGTTGAAGAGGCTTGATAGAGTTAGCTGAAAGCCCCGCTAGTAGAGAGTTGCAGTAATCTAGTCTGGAGAGAACAAGAGCTTGAACAAGGAGTTGAGCTGCATGTTCAGATAAGAAGGGTCGGACCTTTCTGATGTTATAGAGTGCAAATCTGCACGATCGAGCAAAACAGAACAGAACAAAAAATAATCTGGTTAGGAACAAGTAATTGGTGAGTAAATGATTATAGAATTAAAACTATTTAGGTGAACTATCCTGTTAATTCAATGACACTGACTAGCAGAGCTGTAATACAAACAATAGCTACTGACTAAATAATTGAATAAGAGATCAAATTGACATGCTCTGCCCCCTTTTCATCTTTCAATCATTACTTTATACTTTAAAAGAAACTACAGATTTTAAAGCAATCCAGAGGATCTTTAAAGAGGCAGCATAAATGCAGGACTAGATGCTGAATTTACTGGAAAAAAAATCTCAGACGCTAGAAGAGAGAGAGAGAGAGAGAGGTCTTGGAGTACCGCAGTGGTCGGCTTGGCTGGCACTAGCAGGAGGTTTTTAGCCAGATTAAACTCTGAGAAGCCATGTCTTCAAGACCATCCTAATAATGAAATATGTCAGAGCATATAAAGGAGTCTGGCGTAGGTAGAGCGAGCCAGAGGAAAGAGAGAAAAATGAGTGCGTCAGCAGAATGGCCTGCAGCCTGTCAATATCTATCGGATCTCACATCTGTAAAACTACACTCCAATCAGCCGTCCATGTATTTACCATTGTCCCTGACCCCTGAGAAGTACACAAGATGCTTATGCGTAGACGGTGCATGCAAATTACACTGTGTGTGTCTTTATGCATGCACGTGCTGTGAGAGAGACGCTAAAATTCAATCTAGACTGTGTGCATGTGCTTTTGATTATGATATCATTTATGATCCAATGCCATGTGTGTGGAGATCTGTGCACACAATACAGCTACTGTCCGATTTTAGTTGAGTGAATGCAAGCGTGTATAAACTATGCACATATGTACTAATATATGAATGTATATACAGTCATATATTCATGACTTATTCATTCATTCATTCATTCTTGTCGGCTTAGTCCCTTTACCAATCCAGGGTCACCACAGCGGAATGAACCGCCAACTTATCCAGCAAGATTTTACGCAGCGGATGCCCTTCCAGCCGCAACATATCTCTGGGTAACATCCACACACACACACTCATACACTGCGGACAATTTAGCCTACCCAATTCACCTGTACCGCTTGTCTTTGGACAGTGGGGGAAACCGGAGCACCCAGGGGAAACCCACGCGAACGCAGGGAGAACATGCAAACTCCACACAGAAACGCCAATTGAGCCGGGGCTCAAACCAGCGACCTTCTTGCTGTGAGGCGGCAGCACTACCTACTGCACCACTGCTTCGCCTATTCATGACTTATATGAAATTAAAGTGTTTTTCATATATTTATAAGTGATTCACAAACACATTATTTATATATACACTGCAAAACCCAACAGTCAACTTTACCAAACAAAAAGAGTGTAGTTAACTCAATTTACTGAAAGTTAATTCTACTCTACTGAAAAGAGTTTTGAACTCAGCGTTGAAGGTTAATGAGTTAATGAAATACCTCATTACTATAACTTAAAAGGAGTAAGTTCACAGTACTCATATAGATAAGTTTTTTTTAACTCAAATGGTTTGTAGCAATCAGTTTCCTCAAATGATTTGAGTTGCTTTAACTTATTGAGTTTGAGTTCTCTTCATTTATTTGGTTTTACTGTGCTTAAATTGCTTCGTTTACTCAAATGGAGTAAGTTTACAGTACTCATTAGGATTAGTTGTTGAACTTGAATGGTTTGTTGCAATCGATTTTCTTGAATGGTTTGAGTTTCCTTAAATTTTTGGGTTTTACAGAGTATATATATATATTTATTTTTTTATTTTTTCCTCACACAAACATACAGTTTAAGTTAGAATTATTAGCCCCCTTTTCATTTTTCTACAATTACTGTTTAACTGAGAGAAGATTTTTTTCAACACATTTCTAAACATAATAGTTTTAATAACTCATTTCTAATAACTGATTTATTTTATCTTTGCCATGATGACAGTAAATAACATTTTACTAGATATTTTTAAGACACTTCTATACAGCTTAAAGTGACATTTAAAGGCTTAACTAGGTTAATTAGCTTAACTAGGCAGGTTACAGTAATTAGGCAAGTCATTGCATATAGATGGTTTGTTCTGTAGACTATAGCCCCTTTCACACAGTGATACCAGTAAATATCTGGAAAATTTCCGGAACGACTTTACCGGTAAATTCAAAAAAGCGCTGTTCACACAGGCGAGGACGTTACGTAAATTTTCCGGAAAAGAGCATTCACACATCCATTCCAAAATACCGGTAAATTCTGACATCATTCACCACAAATAAGCTTTAAACGGCTGCGCTTGTATTTGTAAACATTTGACTACATTACAAACTCTGTGGATGATCAATATTGTGAACAACTTTCGCAGAATCACTTTCTCATGTCGAGATGTTCATAATATGTGCGTGTGCAGGCGCTTACAGGCTGTTTCAAAGGCACACGCAAAGCTTAAAGGTAAACAAACAACGGCTTATCATAAGCATCTCATCGATGATTATTTACACAGTTGGCATAAAGAAGAACATATAAACGTGATCTGACTAACTTCTGGCAGCTAAATGTGTCTGGAAAAATATTCAAAGGTTTTTATTCTCACAAACCGCACGGACGTAAAAGCATCTGACTGTTGTGATTGGCTAAAGCAGACGTCTCACGTCAGCACGTTCTAGACGTGCACGCGCTTATTACGGGAATCTTCCTTCTGCATTCACACAGCGCAGCATTCCGGCAAATTGCCGGTAATGTTACAACTTCCCTTTCCGGAAAATAGCCAGAACGAATTTACCGGTATTTTCAAAAAGGACCTGTTCACACATACAACCTTTCCGGAAAATTGCCGGCAATTTTCCGGAAAGGTCTGTATGTGTGAAAGGGGCTTATAAGAAAAAAATATAGCGTTTTATTCTTTTATTCGTCTTTTATTCTAGCCGAAATAAAACAAATAAGACTGCCTCCAGAAAAAACATCATCAGACATACTGTGAAAATTTCCTTGCGCTGTTAAACATAATTTGGGAAATATTTAAAAACAAAAAAAGAAGGGGGGGGGGGGGGGGCTAATAGTTCTGACTTTATTTGTTTATACAGATATAAATCCAAAATCAAACAAAAAGTGCTCAGGGGTAGCCTAATTAATGTGTCGATGCTTTTTGGGTAAGGGATTCATCAGAATAAACAGCAAAAGTAAGTCCAAGGCACTCAAAAAATGAGAAAAAATGTTAAAAAGCATTTATTGGCATTGCTATTCCTTATAATTGCACAACAGTAAGGTATGTACATATATACTCTATTGTATATACACGGTAAAGTGCTGGGTTCCACACAATTTGTTTTTGTTGGGACAAAATGAAGAAATGAAGTGGATTGAACATAAACAAATTGGAAGAGCTAATAACTGTACACATTTCTAAAACCAACAAAACTATTTATCAATATCTCAAATGTTAACCATTACCATCCGCTTTGATCTGAATTGAGTTTGTCTGTGATCTTGCTTTCATGTTGTGGTCACGGCTCTACAGTGTGTGTCTGTTTCCTCCACTAACTCAATCACTCCTTGCAGCAACTCACTCTCTCGCCTCCACTGACAGGCTACAAATGGCCGGCAGTCGCCCTCCGTTTATCTTCATTTGACTTGGCTGAGACACAGGCACTGATCTGGAGTCAGATTACTGGCCAGCAAGTCAACTAACACAGGGCTCTGCTGATCACATGCTTGATCTTGGGCCAGCCGGGTATCAGAAAATGCTATTAAAGCAGGATGGTGGAAGAGTCTGGACGATAAACTCTATAACTTATTTATTCTTTATTAATAAAAATGATTAACAATTGTGTCTTTTATCACATTTCTGTAGCTATTTTTGTCCAAAAAAATTAGATTAGCATGCCTAACGAAACTCTCTTTAAGCATAGTAAAATGACATCCTCGTGTGGCTTGTTGCTGTGTTTGTGTGTTTAAATTCTTACCAGGTCTCTGTCCTTGAATGGAGGCCATGTTACTCTCGTCTGCCACTGAAACACAAACATAAAACATCCATCAGCTCCTCAAGCGCACATTTGTGACTCCCTACGGACATTCCAGACGGGATGCAAATTCAAAACAGGGACACACGTGTGTAATGCTGTGTTTGTTCAGAGTGCTTTTATTAAAATGCACATTTGTATGCGTCTGAAGTTCTATTTTAAGTTGAAAGTTGCATATAAATGACTTTAAAAGTAATAAATAAATAAATAAATAAATAAACTTTCCCAGGGATGGGTTGCGGCTGGAAGGGCATCCTCTGTATAAAAACGTGCTGGATAAGTTGGCGGTTCATTTCGCTGTGGCGGCCCCGGATTAAGAAAGGTAAAAAGCCGAAAAGAAAAAGAATGAATGAATGAATAAATAAATAAACTGAAAGCAGGCTAAACCAGACTGTGGTTCATAGATGTGGCGTATGCACCCACAAAACAGGGGTGGAAATGTGCCAACGCTACTACCCATGCAAAAGTTGTGATCTATAAAAAAGGAACGTGATAGTAGAATGTGCGCTGATGTAAGTAAACTCGGAGGCCTCGTTTACACTAGTGCGTTTTAGTTTTAAAACGGCGTTTTAGAATGAAAACCATCCGCGTCCACACTAGCGTTTTACCCAGCGTTTCTGAACTGCTCTCCGTCCACACCAAAACGCTGAAAACGCACATCACGTGACCACACACACACTCTCGGGCAAGCGCTGCAGCATTTCTACCCAGATGAGAGCTGAGCTGGTCGGACTGCTCATCAAGCGTCTCCCGCTGTATCTAATCTGACTATATTTGCTAAACGTGATATTTAATTAATCTTGATGTCTATATCTAACGACATATTCCCAGACTTTGGTCTTTTGAATGTATTACTTGTTAACAGGTAACGTGTTTTGGCTGAGCGCAAAGTTAAGTTAATAATTAATGGAACCACGTACATGCTGTATATTGACTGATCGCTTGCCTTTATTTCCTATAAGTATAAACATATTGTGCGTTATACTTTCATAATGGCTATTATTGATTATTAAACAATATTGACATTCAGCAAAGCAGAGGATACGTTTCGTATTTTCAATGACAATGAAAGGAGGCAGTGATGTTATAAAGGCTCTGTTTTATTATAAATATGCATACAGTGAAGATGCAGCACGACGCCTCAGCATTTCTGCTGTCTGCTAAGTTGTTAATATCAAAATGAAAATAGGCAGTTCCTTAAATCATGTTTACATTTTATTGTTGAGAAAGCGAAACAACGTAGCCAGGATGATGTGAATAAGGTTATAAAGTACACTGTTCCCTTTGAAGATTTACCGGACATGTGTCGAGGGTCTGTTTTCCATATCAAACTTGCGTTGTCCGAACTTACAGGGAGAGGATGCGAGACTGAACTGTGTGTGTTAGGCTACTTTATATTGAGGAAAAACCTCAATCAGAGAGGCGAATGTCTGCAGCCCCGCCCTCGTTTTCAGATGTCTTCGTTTTCCCCCATCCACACTGAGACGAAGCAGCAGCGTTTTAGAATGAAAACGGCCTCTCCAGCGTTTTCGAAACGCTCCATTTTCGGCGCTCAAAAACTCTGGCGTAGTGTGGACAGATGGCATAACCGTAGCAAAACTTGTGCGTTTTAAAACGAAAGCGCATTAGTGTAAACGGGGCCGTAGAAACCATGAGTTACTAGAGTACGGAAGTTTGACGTTTGGTTCTCCTGTGTCCCCTGTTCCTCTTGCTGTACCAATGCAGCAGCTGCTTCACGTAAAAGCTGACTAACAGTTTTTGCCATTTTACTTCTGTTATACTGCATTTACACTAGTAACTCACGCTGTCTCAACCAACAAAACCGTGCTTCTGCCCTCGGGCTCTGTGTGTGAAAGCACTCGACGTCACTTGAAAACGCCCCTCCCACTGATGAGCATAGGCTTTGCATACAGCTTGAAGTTAAAAATGAAATCGAAAATGAAAACTGAAATGAAAAAGTGTCAATAAAATGAAAGCTTAAATTTACATTTTAATTTGAATTGTGTCCCTCTTATAGCGTGAACATTAATAACAACTTGTATATTCATTTAACAGAGGTGACTGCAATACTCATATGAATCCAAAGAACAACACTACACAAACTGACTGAACCGAAACTGGATTTAGATTTTGTCTTGTTCCAAATGTTGGTCAACAGATCTCTCTCACTCTCACTCCCCTCGCTCTCCTTCTCTTTCTCTCTCTCTCTCTCTCTCTCTCTGTTCTTCTGCAAGTAGCCACACTTGCTTTTAATTAGGACGAACAGTGAAGGGCCAGTTACGCTTCTGTACAGCTGAGAACATCTGTGCTTGCCTAAACACACCCATATGAACACATGCTCTCTCTCACACACACACTCACACAGCTCCAGTTACATTGTGTCCACATAGCAAAAATCATAACAAAGAGGCAAAAATAGGATATATACACACACAACAGTTCTGTCTGGTTCTTAAATCTGTATCTTGAATCTTTGTATGATGTTACAGGCAATATATATATATATATATATATATATATATATATATATATATATATATATATATATATATATATATATATATATATATACACACACATACACACACACGCACACATATACACAGTTGAAGTCAGAATTATTAGCCCCCCTTTTGATTAACAAAGCAAGGAAATTTTTACAGTATGTCTGATAACATTTTTTCTTGTGGAGACAGTCTTACTTGTTTTATTTTGGCTAGAATAAAAGCAGTATTTAATTTTTTAAACACCATTTTATGGAAAATTATTAGCCCCTTTAAGCTAATTTGTTTATTGATAGTCTACAGAACAAACCATCGTTATATAATAACTTGCCTAATTACCCTAACCTGCCTAGCTAACGTAATTAACCTAGTTAAGCCTTTAAATGTCACTTTAAGCTGTATAGTAGTGTCTTAAAAAATATCTAGTCAAATATTATTGACTGTCATCATGGTAAAGATGAAATAAATCAGTTATTAGAAATGAGTTATTAAAACTATTATGTTTAGAAATGTGTTGAAAAAATCGGCTCTCCGAGGGGAGAAAAATAAACAAAGGGGCTAATAATTCTGACTTCAACTGTATGTGGACTCGTAGTCCGAATTTCCATAAAAGACAATGAAGTCACCTTTATGTAATAGAATGAAAAACTCTTTATTTCTGCCTTGAAAAACATGCAAAACAGTAAACAGTAAAACATGAGGTAAAATATTCCGTCCACGTATGTGGCCACTGAGCCCTAGGAGGTTAACACAATATAGTTTAAGGTATAATAGCATTTAGTGTAATTACTGTATTTATTACTGTAATTTTTTGTTTCTCTAATTTTAAGTAGTTTAATAAGTCAACTTAAATATGATGTTGTCAATTTTGACAGTGTAACAGAAGAATCTTGTATCAAGAACAAAACGTTAGTGCATAAAATATATGTTTTTTTTTTTTGTTTGTTTTTTGCAGAGCCTATGAGTGTCTATATCTACGTAAGCCATGATGACACATCTAAGACATTTACAGTAGTGCCCTGTGGAGGAAAACAGGGAATTATTAGTGTGTGTGGGCCTGAGTGTGAGCGCTGAAAAATGAGAAAGTGTGCATGAGAGAGAGAGAGAGAGAGAGAGAGAGAGAGACTAATCCGCACAAACAGGATTGAGCAGTGAAGAGCAGCTGCTGCCACAGGCATTGCACCATGGGATACAATAATGGGGTTTCATTACACTGCAATTTCTCTTAAATAAGCCTTTTCATCTTTTATGAGCTCAATTTCCCCAGCAGAGAAATAACACTGGATGAGAGGCTTGTGTGAGCCGGTGTGGGTTCACACGTGTGTGTACACATGGACACGTATGAGAGAGAACACAGACAGGGCTGATGAGTGGGGAAAAAATAAGTATAGTAGAATAAAAAAGAGGGAAGAAATAATATTTTGGCGTTGAATGCTTGAAAGCATCGACAAATTTGGATTATCCACACTCAACAAAGCACAGACACAATGTCACACTCACGCATGCAGAAAAACATCCAAAAATCACACACTAAAGATTGCAAAGACATCCTCCACGAGCTCAACCACACTCAAATACCCTTATTTATACCATTTATATTTGGCTGAGCTTGCCAAGCAAGCATCGCTATAATTGTTGCTCATATTTACCATAACCAGATCAAGCAATCAGCCGCATAACATGGCAACCAGCCAAAACACCATAGCAACCAACTAGAAGAGCCTAACTACATGTAGAAAGGCCTAACAACCAAATAAAACAGCATAGCAACCAACCAGAAAAGGCTAACTACATGTAGAATGACCTAACAACCAAACAAAACAGCATAGCAACCAACCAGAAAAGGCTAACTACATGTAGAATGACCCAACAATTAAACACAACACCATAGCACAACCAGAAAAGCCTAACTACATGTAGAATGACCTAACAACCAAACAAAACAGCATAGCAACCAACCAGAAAAGCCTAACTACATGTAGAATGACCTAACAACCAAACAAAACATTATAGCAACCAACCAGAAAACCCTAATTACATGTAGAATGACCTAACGAACAAACACTACACCATAGCAACCAACCAAAAAACCCTAATTACATGTAGAATGACCTAACAACCAAACAAAACAGCATAGCAACCAACCAGAAAAGCATTACTACATGAAGAATGACCTAACAACTAAACACAATACCATAACAACCAACCAGAAAAGCCTATCTACATGTAGAATGTCCTAACAACCAAACAAAACACCATGGCAACCAACCAGAAAAGCCTAACTTCATGTAGAATGACCTAACAACTAAACAAAACACCATAGCAACCAGCCAGATTTTTCATAGCAACAAGCTAAATACCCTAGCAACCAAACACCATAGTAACCACCCATAAAACCGTAGCAACAATCAGAATACCTTAGCAGACAACTAGAGACAAAACACTATAGAAACCAGCCAGATTGACATAGAAACAAGTGGAATACTCTAGCAACCAAACAACAAGCGGAATACCCTAGCAACCACAAATAACCATCTAGAAGAAACAGTTAAAACACATCAGTAACCCTGAATATCCTAGTAACACCCAAAACAGAATGCTTTAACAACCAAACAGTGCTCTTTAGCAACACCTCAACATGCCCAACTAGAAAAGCCTAACAACATTTAGAGTGACCTAACAACCAAATAAAACACCATAGCAACAGGCCAGATTTTACTATAAAAAAGCGGAATATTCTAGCAAATAGATTGCCTTAGCAACAAGCTGAATACCCTAGCAACTAAACACCATAGCAACCACACAGAAAACCATAAGAACAATTAGAATACGCTAGCAGACAACCAACACCATAGCAACCAGCCAGAGTTCTCTAGCAAACAAAATGAATATCCTAGCAAATAGTCAGATTGTCCAAGCTACAAGCTGAATGCCCTAGCAACTGAACACTATAGCAACCACAAAGAAAACCATTACAATAATCAGAGTACACTCGCAGACAACCAAAACATCATAGCAATCAGCCAGATTAGCCTAAAAAAATGAAATACCATAGCAACCAGTTGAACTGTCCTAACAACAGGATGAATACACTAGCAACCGCCCAGAACCCTCTAGAAGAAACCAGATAAGAGATTCCCTAGAAGACAACCAAAATGCTATAGCAACCAACAAGATAGCCCTAGAAACAAGCTTAATACCCTAGCAACCAGTCGGATTGTCCTAGCAACAAGGTTCAAAAGAACCCTTTAAAAGAAACCAGATAGAACACCCAAGCAGTAACACTGAATATCCTAGCAGCAACCAAAACAGAATGTTCTAGCAACCAAATGGTGCCCTTTAGCAATGCCTTAGCAACCAGAAAACCCTAACAGCATGTAGAATGACCTAACAAACAAACAAAAGTCTTAGCAAACAGGACCATTTCCCTAGCAACAAGCTGAATATCCTAGCAAATAGTCAGATTCCCCTAGCAACAGGCTGAACACCCTAGCAACCAAACACCATAGTAATCATTAAAAAAAAACATAGCAACATACACAATACCCTAGCAGACAACCAACACACTATAGCAACCAGCCAGATTGCCCTAGAAACAAGCTGAATTAGCCTAGCAACCAGTCGGATTGTCCTAGCAACAAGCTGAATACATTAGCAGCCACCAGAACCCTCTAGAAGGGTTGTTAAAGCATTCTGTTTTGTGTGCTACTAGGACATTCAGGGTTACTGATAGGGCGTTTTAACTGGTTTCTTCAGGGTAAACTAGAAACATCTAAAAATGTCTCAGAAGCAACCCTAAACACAATAATAACCACTTTCAATGCTAAAGAAAGAGTTCTAGACTTCCAAAAAGAACTTAGCAACATGCATAACCCACTAGAAATTACCCTGATCCTGTCAGTCCCTAATCAGGTGTTGTTATTAATGGTGTTCAACACATAATACACACAAAAAACTTCTCAAAAAATTCAAATAACACTATAAAACAAAAATATAGAGAGATTACACACATTAACCATCCCAAATGCCATAGCAGCACCAAAAAATGTCTACCATACCACAATTGTCAACCGTCCTAAAGCCCTAAGCAACACCCAAACAAAACCCTTGAACACACTACTGACTGTATGACTATAAGCAGTTCAGCAATGACCTGGCAACTGCCCACAGTTCTTGTGAATTAAATTGGAGTTTTCCACTAAAATGTCCTGCGGAAATAGCAAAAATCTAGTTATACATGTTCTGATAAAACCCAATTTGGCTAGCATATTGCACTTTTGCATCAAAAGTAAAGGTAAATGGCCTGAAAGCAATCAGCAAATGAGAAATTAAGAGCATTTTCGCATGAACTCCAGCCCAGAAAAACACATACAGCTGCTAATGATGCGACTGGCAGAGTAAAGCTCTCTCTGAGAGACACAAACCGAGCCAAAACTCCAAACGCTAGGCTCCAGAACTCCAGCCAAACCTCTCCAAGGGATCACGCTTGACTGAAGAAAACCTTTTGTCTTTCAACGTTTCCCAATATCACAGAGGAAAACACTAGCCAGACTGAAATTATGTGCCTCGAGGACAAGAAAAGTGGACCCTTGGGTGGATGGATATATTGCTGAAATGTTTGTAAATTATGATGAATAAATACAGCAGCTATTTTTGCATTTGGATATAAATGACCTGTATTATTCTAACAGCGGTTGATGCTAGAGTAAACGTCTGAAACTGCTCCCACCTTCAGTCGCATTAGCCACGGCCCTGACTGGAAATCCATTACCCCGAAATCCTCCAAAAACAATATCTCTGATGGAAACCCCCAGATGATATTTGCATAGAGGTTTGTAAGTTCACGTTTAAAACGTCACTTCACTTCACTTTTACAATGACTGCAAACGTAAACACTGTATGATACATTAGGTCGTATGAGGTATTATTTATTTTGTTTTAGATAGCAACTTATGTGCATAGATTATTATATTATATTATATTATATTATATTATATTATATTATATTATATTATATTATATTATTATTTAATAAGATGCAATATATTTAAATGTTACTATATATATATATATATATATATATATATATATATATATATATATATATATATATATATATATATATATATATATATATATATATATATATATATATATATATAGTTACATTACCATAAAAATTATTTATAATAAATATAAAATAATAATATAAAAATATTAATATATATAAAATCTTATATATTTTTTGTTTATATTATTTTGTTTACATTAAAGTAAAATGTATTTAATAAATAACTAAATAAAAATATATAAAATAAAAATAATATACTTTTTTAATTAAAAAATACGCATGCACACACACACACACACACACACACACACACACACACACACACATACACACACACACACACACACACACACACACACACGTTACATTAGCATAAAAATAATAAAAAACAACAAAAATAAAAATAATATATAAAATTTACAAATGTATGTACAGTTAATTTAACATAAAATGTATTTAATAAATAACTAAATAACAATAAATAAAATAAATAAGTAAATTCTTTAAAATGTTACATTAGCATAAAAATAATAAAAACAAACAAATAATAATAATAATAATTACAAAAAATAAAAATATATAAATGAATTATTTATACACACACACACACACACACACACAAGCATAAAAACTACACTTAATTAATAACTAAAAAATTTATAAAATAAAGTTATATCAAATAAAAATATATATTAAATAATATATATAATAAAGTGCTGATGCTTTTGTAACAATTATAATTGTTTTTATATAGTAATTGTAAATTGTTTTTATATAGTATAGTTTTTATAAGTAAGACAGCAACTGAACCACAGACCACAAGGCCTACACAGAAAAAAAAAATAGAAAGAGTAACCCAAAGAACAAAACGGAAAAGCGAGAGAGAAAGATAAAGAAATAAATAGAGGGGAAAAGGTCTGGATGGAGGATAAAAGATGGCAGCAAAGCACGACACTATGAGATGTGTGTAATGAAAACCAATCAGCTTTCAGCAGTGAGGAGATTAGCGCAGTGGCAGTGGCGCTGGAGCCAATACTCCACCCTAATGAAATGTAATTGGAAACGGCCGAAAACTTCCCATTGTGAAGCACTGAAATATCCCTCATGTTTCCGAAGGTGGGGGGAAAAGAGAGAGGAGAAGTTATCAGGGTCATCCGTGGCTAATACTGGGAAATGTGGCTTTATTTTGGAGCGAAAGCAATCGGTTTCCACTGTGCTCAAAAATACTGACCAAAAATCGGCAAATAAAAAGGTTTTAGTTTAACCTTTATAAAGCTTTACAAACGGTTGCACACTAAATTTTCAAATACAAACACACACAGGTCAAGGTAACCAAGCGCTAAGATCAGCGAGACGGGCGACTGCTGATTTCATGGATGCATTTGCACTGGTCTGGTACTGGATAAAGCCGTGTCTATACTATGTTGTTGTTTTATTGTATATGGAGATTCCTTTTTGTGGGTGGTTTCTAGTACAGGTGGTGTGTGTGTGTGTGTGTGTGCCACCAACTGTTTCTGGATCAACATCTATGCTCATTCTTAAACAACATTCCAATAATCCAATCAGAATTAAGGGATATGTTTACTGTTTAGTTAACTTTAGGCTTATGGTTAGGTTTATGCACTTCTACATGATTGTTATCCAACTATTATTCCGCTCTGATTTTTGGAGTAATTTACAGTTATGGTTGGGTTTAGGGGTGGGGAATAGGTGTGAATCACATTTTCAAACTAAAATGATGTTCCAGGATCTACATAGATGTTAATCCAGGATCACATTGTACTTAGCAAAATCATGACATACGTGTGTGTCTCATACCTAAATCCATGCTCTTGGACGTCTTGTTGGTGGAGTATTCTGGGGCTTTCTGTCGTTGAGGGTATTGTTGGTTGGTGGGGTGGCTCACTTGAGAAAAAGGCTCCATTTCAGGCCTAAAACACAGATATTGCTTATTTGTATTCTCTGCTGAATTCATTTTGGTTGGTCAAATATATAAATATATATATATATATATATATATACACACACTATAATAAGCTTATATGCATATAATATGCTTTAAATTACTGTAAGTTTTAAATTATATTAACAAAGGTTGCATGTATTTGCTCAAAACACAACGAAATAGTGTCATATTTATAATCATTATTTAAAATAGCAGTTGTTTATTTTATTGCATTAAAAAAGTCATGCATATCTGTTATGCAACGCTAAATTATTCAAACTGAGCATCAGAAAGGGGAAGAAAGGGGATTTAAGTGACTTTAAATGTGGCATGGTTGTTGGTGCCAGATGGGCTGCTCTGAGTATTTCAGAAACTGCTGATCTACTGGGATTTTCACGCACAACCATCTCTAGGGAAATGGAATGGTCTGAAAAAGAGAAAATATCCAGTGTGGGGCAATTCTGTGGCCGCAAATGCCTTGTTGATGCCAGAAGTCAGAGGAGAATGGCCAGACTGGTTCCAGCTGATAGAAAGGCAACAGTAACTCAAATAACCACTCGTTACAACCGAGGTATGAAGAAGAGCTTCTCTGAACACACAACACGTCCAGCCTTGAGGCGGATAGGCTACAGCAGCAGAAGACCACACCGGGTGAAACTACTGTCAGCTAAGAGCAGGAAACAGAGGCTACAATTTGCACAGGCTCACCAAAATTGGACAATAGAAGATTGGGAAAAACGTTGCCTGGTCTGATGAGTCTCGACTTCTGCTGCGACATTCTGATGGTCGGGTCAGAATTTGGTGTCAACAACATGAAAGCATAAATCTACCCTGCCTTGTATCAATGGTTCAGGCTAGTGGAGGTGGTGTAATGGTGTGGGGATATTTTCTTGGCACACTTTGGGCCCATTAGTACCAATTGAGCATCGTGTCAACGCCACAGCCTACCCGAGTATTGTTGCTGACCCTGTCCATCCCTTTATGACCACAGTGTGCTCATCTTCTGATGGCTACTTACAGCAGGATAACACACCATGTCATAAAGCTTGAATCATCTCAGACTGCTTTCTTGAACATGACAATCAGTTCACTGTACTCAAATGACCTTCACAGACACCAGAGCTCAATCCAACAGAGCATCTTTGGGGTGTAGTGAAATGGGAGATTCGCATCATGGAAGTGCAGCCGACAAATCTGTAGAAACTGCGTGATGCTATCATGTCGTAGATAGGAAATATGGAGGAAATCTCTTGAGGAATATTTCCAGTAGCTTGTTGAATCTATGCTACAAAGGATTAAGGCAGTTCTGAAGGCAAAATAGGGTCCAACATGGTATTAGTAAGTTGTACCTAATAAAGTGGCCAGTTATTGTAAATTAGACAAAATGAAGTACTTTCCTATTACGGTTGGGTTTAGTTCTAGGGTTGGGGTAGGGGATGGAATACACAGTTTGTATAGTTGAAACATCATTATGTCTACGGGAGTCCCCACCAGGATATAGGAACAAGTGTCTGTGTGTGTGTGTGTGAATATCTACAGTACATCTAAAAGAATAAAACTGTGTATTTGAATAAACATTTGATGGTACAAACAGATAAAGGCATAAATAATGATTCTGCATGGTTTGATTGTTTTTCAGGCTATGAAAGAGCATATGACGTTCAAAAACACTCCATTATCTGATCTCAAATAGTACACTCTCAAAGAAAACCTCTGATCTATGATTATTATCTCTTTGAGCTCTAGAACGAACCGATTTGGCTGGTGTTTGTGAGGAGGGTTTGTTTCCAGCAGGTCCAGATCAGAAGGTGGAGGAGGGAAATCATCTTCCCCATAATCCACCTCCAGCAGCTCCGGACGTCCACCATGAGGTCTGTATGGAGCTGTGTGGAAATAAACGATTTATGGTAACATTAATAGAGCTGGTTTTCAGTCATCTGTCATGTTTATTGTATAAAACAGAGAAATTAACAAGTCAACTAGTCATAGTTTTTAATAAATAAAAATTACTTGAATCAAATTTTTAAGTGGGCTGGTAAAAACTATTGGGGAATCTCAATACAGCCTGGTAGGTCAATTGCTAGAGGTGCTGTATGTAAGTTTTTGACTCTTCTAAAGCACAAAAATACCATAATATGCAGATATTTAAGAAACATGCAAAGTGAACATGTTTTTGTTTTGTTTATCAAAAAAAACAAAACAATGGTGAAGTCAGATATTCTGCTTTGAAAATGTGTTTTCCGTGCCAGAATGCTGTCTTTGTTTTGGTTCTTTTAACCCACCCACTGCCACTTTAGCCATTTTATAATTCAGCACCCCGGCATGCCTTCATGAAACATATTTACTGAAACATATTCACATATTTAATTCATTTATTCAGAAAGGCTCTCAAAGCAAAGCTCAATCTGGCAACCTGCGCTTGCATTTGTTCAAATCCAGGAATGTAATACCTAGTTCAACCACTGGGTGTCCAACATACATACTTATGACCCTTTACTTCTCCAGTCAATTGTAGTATGAAGCGAGGACTATTTGTTCCCATGCTTTAGATGCTGAATGAAAATTTCATTTAGTAACATTAAGCAGCATTAACATGCCATTTTTTTATGTTTAATTACCGTATTTTCCGCACTATAAAGCGCACCGGATTATAAGACGCAGTCTCAAGTACGGGGTCTATTTCTGTACTTGACCCATACATAAGGCGCACCGTATTATAAGGCGCACGCTAAAATACACTGTCTGCAAAAAAGGTAATGGAAGCAAAACAGTTAACATAGTTTAGTTGAACTTTATTGTACTATTTAACAATACACTCACATTATTATTTTTTTCAATCAGTCTTCTCCCAAAAATCCATCAAAGTCCTCATCTTCTGTGTCTGAATTGAACAGCTGGGCAGTTTCGTCATCAAACACGCCGGGTTCTCTCTCATCATTGTCGGAGTCAGTCTCATTGCCGGGTGGCTGTTCCGGCTTTTGCGAAAGCTCGGACAACAGTTAAAGCAGACACCCTAGCCCAGGCATCCACAATCCATTCACTTATGGTGGCGTAACTCGCCCGGCATGCTTACCAGTCTTAGTAAAAGTGTGTTCGCCGTATGTCATCCATTGCTCCCACGCTGCTCGCAACTTCACTTTAAACGCCGTCTACACCAATATCCAGCGGTTGAAGTTCTTTTGTTACTCCTCCCGGAATGACAGCAAGCTCCGAATTCATTCAAGTTGGTCTTCTAACTGTCCAGATTAGACAGATTTTTGAACTCCGTGCACACATAAAGCGCACCGGATTATTAGGCGCATGGCCGTTTTATAACAAAATTTAAGGCTTTTAGGTGCGCCTTATAGTGCGGAAAATACGGTACCATAGGAAATAGGGCTGTGCAAGTAATCGAAATTCATTTTTGATTTTGGCTTGCAATGATTATGAAAAATCTTTAATCGAAATAAAAGAATTATTGCATCATATCCACATAAGTCAAGTCAAAACGCGACTTTAAGGGATTACTCACATTACCCTTGTTTGTTATGTAGTAAACAAACGTAAAGAGTTGAAAATGAAAGCCATGTCAAAAGCCAATTTGAACTCTTAACCTTACTTTTCTTAACTCCTAATGTCACTAGTTAACACACTCAATGCGCTTTTTTTTTCAACACATCCCATCATTTCTAAAATATCAGCCTCTACCAAATGGTATATATGTGGGTTTAAGGTAAAAGTACCAGTATTGATACAGCTACTATGAAAAATCTGAAAATATCAGACCACTTTATTTGAAAAATATTCAAAATAAAACATTTTTGAATAATAAAACCACCTATTTTTAAGTAACAAATAAAATAATAAAAATAAATTAAAAGTAACAATAAAATATTTCAGATTCTTATTTAACTTTCTTTTAACTTTAATTTAATTTAAGCTTTCTTGTTTGCCAAAATGCCAAAATCAAGTGTAAGATTTTGTTTGTTTGCTTGTTTGTATGTTGGTTTGTTTTTAAAACAACAATGTTGTGTGTGCAAGAAAATATTTAAAGCATTCTTTAATTGCCTTTAACAGTCATTATTTAAAACAGTAAAAACATGCTCAACCTATTGGGAGAGGGGCAGTCAAAGTGACAGCGCACTATTTTCCTGTTTTTGTTATTACTAATCAAACAACTATATATATACTTTTAACTAATTGACCTTTGGATGTTGATAAAGACACCCTCACATTTTTACATTCCACTGCAAAAAAAAAAAAAGAAATTCATACAGGTTTTTTTTTTAAGGTTGGCTATTTCCAACTGAAAATCCTCCATTATGATGAATAAGACACACTTGACCAAATTCACTTAGGCTGAATCATCTAACACATGAGAAACACAACCACAAACGCTTCTCGATAACTGACTTCTGATCAATATTAGCAGCACTGTTCTAAAATATCTCCATTACTATTCCATTTTCTGCTCTATTGTGCCTGTTCCTTCCAGCATTTATTGTAAAGCAAATCTAGAGCGACTCCATGGCATGCAGCGTCATACAATATTAATGGCTTCGCTGGCAAAAAACATGCGATTAAAAAGTATATCTTGTTACAACTCTACAAAATGACATTTGTGCGCAGAGTTCGGCACATTTCAGATTTGACCAAATCTAAGTGAAGCGAGTGTGGAAGGTAATCTGAATTTAAAATGAGATTTGTGTGAATATCACATCCCTTTTTGTGAGACTAAAAGTACAGTCCCATGTTTTGACGGACAAGAGACGCTAATCAGTAAACAATGGTTTCCCAAAAAACACGGAAAAAGCCTTTTGTGTTTGGCACGGCAGCTCTCTGGAGAGCGCGAGGAAAGAATAGTGTGAATTTAAAACAGTTTGTTATCCGTTCTCGAGCGCTCGGCACAATTGCGGATATGCTAATAAGGCCCACTTAGAATCCATTTCATCAGCTTAATGATTTCAAGGTCAGACCGCGTTGCATAAAAGCGGAAGGGAATGTAGCAAAAATATCGTCATTGGCTTTTTCATCCCTATTGATGAGATGGGCAGATTTCCAACTTGTAGAAGTCGAAAAAGCTAATGGAAAGCTACGCTGGCATGGAAAATGAGGCGGCGGAGAAAATGAACTCATTTTGTCCTCTTATAGGGGAGCAAAGCTCTCTTCATGTGGTGTTGATGATGAACGCATGCTTTCTTTTGTTGAGGGCTGATCAATTTCATTTGTTTCTTAACCGAGAGAGAATCCCGATGAAAGCACTTAACATTTTATAAAAGCAATTACTTTGTATCATTTGGTGTGCATTTAAAAATGCAGTCAACAAGTATGAGTTTATTCACACAGAATGTGATTGGTGACCGTCGATGAAATGGAAAAAGTAAATGATGCTATTGGATATTAAAGCTTAATAGGAATAGTACAGCAACATTTCAGTGCGTGCAACTGTACAAGTCCAAAAAAAAAAAAAAAAAAATGAGATAACCATGTGACAATTATTGTATGTGTGAACTTTGTATACAGAAACAGTTTGGGGATATTTGAAAAAAATGAGAAAAATACACCGAAAGTGGTGCGTCGAAGAATGATGACAGTAAATAATATTTAACAACATTTTTCAAGACACTTCTATACTGCTTAAAGTGACATTTAAAGGCTTAGCTAGGTTAATAAGGTTAACTAGGCAGGTTGGAGTAATTAGGCAAGTTATTGTATAATGATGGTTTGTTCTGTAGACTATTGAAAAAATATATATAGCTTAAAGGGGCTGATAGTTTTGCCCTTAACATTTTTTTTATTCAAAACTGCTTTTATTCTAGCCAAATTAAAACACATAATACTTTCTCCAGAAGAAAAAATATATATATTATCTGACATACTATGAAAGTTTCCTTGCTCAGCTAAAAATCATTTGAGAAATATTAAAATAAAAAAAAAATTCAAAGAGGGGCTAATAATTCTGACTTTAACTGTATGTGATGTGATCTCTCTCTCTCTCTCTCTCTCTCTCTCTCTCTCTGAACGCAATGAGAAGCGATACAGCACAAAAACAGTTAACCTATCAAAATAAACCACAAACAATGTACAATAAAGCTGTGTCAATGCATATTTCCTGCCAGTCCTGTGTAAAATACGGCAAGCAAAGTTTAGTTGTTTATGTATTTATTTATATTGTGAGATGGCGGAGCGTGAGAACAGTTTGAACTACTATACACAGGTGTGCTGCGCCAGTGTATATTTCTAAATAAACAACAATATTGCTATGATGTATGTCTGCATTTTATGTATTTATTGTTGTATTTATTTATTTATTTATTTATTTATTTATTTATTATTATTAATAATAATAATAATAATAATAATAATAATAATAATAGTAATAACAATAACAATAAATAATAATAATAATAATAATAATAACAATACAAATAAATAAATCAATAAATCAATAAATAATAATAATAGTGATAAATAAATAAATAAATAAATAAATAAATAAATAAATAAATAACTATAACAACAATAATAATAATAACCTGAAGTTTCTGTTACTGTATTAAGATAAAGGAATCAGATGTTTAAAGTGATATGATGAATTGGAGTTATACCGTTATTCCACACTATCTCGACCAGTCTTGCACATTTTAAAAATATAAAATGACACTAACTTTTGATTTTTAATACTGACACTGAAAATGTTATCTCTTTACAATTGAGAAGCTTTTGTTGTCTATCTTCAAGTTAAATAAAAATATATAATATAATGTTCTCAATCCAAATTAAGCAAATCTTATTACTTAAAATGTGAAAATATGGACTAATATGGTTCTTTATCTCAATAGGCCTAATTTCATTTACGAAAATTTAGTTCATCCAGAAATTAATGTTTCTTGCCATCCAGGTTGTACTGTGGGTGACTTTACTTATCAGCAGATCATTATAGAAGACTTTAAGCTGTAACTGCGGTCCTTGTTGGTTCATAAAATGTACAGTAAGTGAACAACAACCCCTTTGAGAGTCAAAAATGAATACCTTTCTGTACAAGATGGCTGTTTCTTACACAAACTGATCATTTCACCTCTCAAGAGCTGAATGTATGATCTGGAGCAAAGAGAATTGGTCATATACTGTAGAGCAGTGTTTGCCACCCCTGTTCCAGAGGACACACCAACAGTATTCCTTTTCAAACTCTCCCTAATCAAACACACCTGAATCAACTCATCAGAACATAAGAAGAGACTTCAAAACCTGAGGTATGAGTCAGATAAGGGAGACATCCAAAATACGTACTGTTGGTGTGGCCCCAGGAACAGGGTTGGGAAACACTGCTGTAGAGTACATGGAACATTCTTAAGTCTGGAAGTTGTGGAGACTTTTATTTCAGTATGCTGACATACTTACATAGGAAGGAGAATATTGAGTAGGGGCATTTATTAAACCAAATTATAATTTACACCAAAATTTAATTGGTTGTGCCTGTATTTTTGACTCTCAAAGTGCCAGTAACCGTCAACTTCCATTTTAGGAACCATCAAGGGCAGCCAAAATATTCAATGTCGTACTAAAGAGAGAAAGAGAGAGAGAGAGAGAGACCTACACCTTGGATTGCCTGAGGATTAGTAAATTAACAGCATTTTCATATTTGTGTGTAAGTAACGACCTCCAGTAATGTATTTAAGCACTGCACTTGTGTACTTACCAGGAGCAGACTCGTTCACTGTGGATTGTGGTACTGAATTGTTGGTGGTGTTGCTGTTCGGATGGTGGTGATGACGACGCAGAACAGGAGAGTCGTTTCTGTTGGCACTTTGACTGGCTTCATAATTTTCCTAGAAGAGAGTAAACATTTGTTTAGAATTAACAGTTAGATCTATAACAACGACTAAAAACCACACAACAAAGAAGGTGATGATGGGACAAAATGTCCGAAGAACAACATCTTTAAAGCTTGTAGATCAACTTAAATGGGTCAAGCAGTCTCCGAGTTAAAAGTTGGATCATTTGACATGCGGGATTAAAAATATATATACATGGATAATGGATTCACACAAACAATTGAATTATTTCATGATTTACTTACTCTCAACCTTTTTCTACTCCTGCATGCCTTACTTGAAACTTCACTCAAGTGTATTCAAATTTTATGTGTCAAGGCTTGTGACAAACATTTTGTGTGTAGTAGTTGTGGTGGTTTACTTTATGTAACAACGCAACACAAAGCAAACATAACATAAATTATCGTATCAACAAATCGCAACATAATGCAACATAACACAATGTATTATATCAACATAATGCAAAATAACATAACGCAATATAACATAACATATTGTATCATATGAACATAACAATGTATCATTTCAACATAATGCAACATAATGTATCGCATCAACATAACGCAACATAAAAATATATCGCATCAACATAATGTATCGCATCATATCAACATAACACAACAATATATCACATCAACATAATGCAAAATGACATAACATAATATAACATATAATTTTAACAAAGCAACATAACGTAACATTTTAACATAACGCAACATAATGTAATGTACCATATTAACATAACGCAACATAACATAAAATTTTAACATAACGCAAAATAACATAACGTATCATAATAAAATATTGCAACATAACGTAACATTTTAACATAACGCAAAATAACGTAACATATCATAATAAAATAACGCAACATAACATTTCATAACACAACATATTATTACGTACCATATTAACATAACACAACATATCGTATAATTTTAACATAACACAACAAAACGTAACGTATTATATTAACATAACGCAACGTATCATATTAACATAACACAATATAACATAACATATTATATTAACATATCGCAACATAACGTATCATTTTAACATAACACAACCTAATCACACCATGCGATTATAAAACACATATAAAACTCACCATAACATAACGCAACATAACATAGCACAACACAACATATCGTATCATATCAACATAACGCAACAATGTAATGTATCTTATCAACATAATACAACATAACGTATCGTATCAACATAACGTGACATAACGTAATGTATCATTTCAACATAATGCAACCCAACATAATGTAATGTATCAACATAACGCAACATAACAATGTAACATAACATAATATAAAGTATCAACATAACACAAAATTAGGTAATGCATCATATCAACATAACGCAAAATAACATAACGCAACGTTACATAACGCGACATCACAACACAACATTACATAACACATCGCAACATAACATAATGCACCATAACATAACGTAATGTATCATATTAACATAACACAACATAACGTAACTTATCGTATCAACATAACAGAGCAACATAACGATAACATTACATAATGCAACATACTTTACGCAACAATGTATCATATCAACAAAATGCAACATAACGCAAAATAGCATAACATATTGCATCAACATAGCGCAACACAAGGTAACACATCAACATAACGCAACAAAATCATATCAAATTTATGCAAAATAACATAACATATTGTGTGTGTCATATTAACAACTCAATTGGACAACTCAACACAACACATATAAAGACATTTGTATAATGACATGGGTAGGATATCTTAAGATTTTACAACCTTAAAGTAGTTTATAAGAACATGTCCTGGGTACTTAGAATTCAAAATGCCCAAGAATCATACCTAATACGGTCTTTTGACATTCAAACTTCACCACGCTTTCTGTGAGGGTTGTGTTTAGGGGTAAAGCTACGGTATAGCAATATAATAAGCTGTTTTTACAGCATGAAATACATTTCACCAATGTATTATGCTCATAAACCACCAAAACAAGTATGTGTGTACTTTCCTCATCAGAAAAAGAAAAAAAAACAAGGAAAAAATATGCTGAAACCAAATATAAAATGAAAAAAAAAAGATAAAAGCAACTATATGACACATTTAGAAATATTCATGAGCCCAAAGGCAATCCCGTCAGACACTACTAGTTGAGAAGCATTCGCAAAATGTGTCAATATGAAGACATGAGGCCACTGAATGAAGCGTCCTGATGGATTCTTCACAGATGACAAAGGAGCTACAGCTGTCAGCGTCTGGGTGAATAACCCAAAGGAGGAACACCACAGACTTTATACTGTCATACAAAACACATGCTACACACCGCAAAAAAAAAAAAAAAAAAAAACTCAGACTGACTGGACGGACATGAAAGGTATTAGGATATCACCATATCAAAGTGTGCTTAAATGCATTCACAATGTACCATTCCACACTGCGGGGGAAAAAAACAGATGAAAGCCTCGTTCTTTTGTTGCGACGTTAAGCCTCAGTTGGAGGACAGTCATTAGCGCGGATGATGGCTCTTTACATGCGGAAACGTCATTCTTGTCATCTGCCTCCTGCTCGCTGTCTTTCCAGACGCACAGGAATCATCAATGGACCACAAGACTGATTCTCAGGCTCTATTTCTCCTCAGAGATTATGTTCCTCATGAAAAATGACTCCAGAACCCCCTTCGCTGAGACGAAACCACACTATTTTTTCGGTCTTTCACTGTGATCATTGCGTTGACAATGGTTAGCGTGTTAGATGAAAAAGCTGGCAGGAAAATATCAAAAGATATTTGAAGAATGATGGGACAGCGGCTGCTAGAATCCAGACGGAAGGAAACTAAAAAAACGAAGAGTCAATTTAAACTGTCGATATTATTGATTTACGCATTCACCTCCCGGACTTCAACCACTGCACCGTCCTTATTAGAGGGGCTTGTTAAGAGACGGATCACTGTTAGTATTGTGATCTAAACCAACCTGTACTGATCTTTGGTGGAATACATTAATAAATATTGTAATAACAAACATTTATGACATCTCAAACTTGTGAGGGTGAGAATTTACAATAATAATAAAAATAAATAAATACATTTGACCCCTTTAACATCTTAGTATTAGCAGTAACTGCAAACCCCAGCAGCTGCAGTATAGCAATACCCTAGCAACCACGTTGAGATGTGCTAAATAAAATGATATTGATAATAATACGTTTCTACAGTAATTATATAATAGTTATATTAATAATAGATATAATTGGTATTTTTATTATTAATTTATATTGTAATTTACTTTCTTTTATATTATATTTTACGACTTTGGATGTAAATAAATAAAGAGATCAGTATTAAAATATCAGTATTGTATACTGATTTGAGTGAATCATTACACCCCTAATCCATTCTGCCCTTTGTTCTTTTGTCTATACAAACGCTATGTGGTATTGGTTTTTGATATAGCATTTTAATGAGCACAAGTACACAAACACATTATAAAGCCTAATAACTGATCCATCTTTAATAGCAGGTTAACCATTCTACAATGGTGCACTACGACATCCAATGCAATATCACAAAAATGTGTAACTTTTTCACTTAGTGGCTAATTGGTATTAATTTGTATGATCTCATTGGTACAATTCTGTATGATTTGCTCATACCCAAATGAGAAGTTGGGTTTATTTGTTATTTGTATGTTTCGTGCAAAATAGGTTGTATGAATTTGTATGAATTAGCCACGTTTCATAAAGCAAAGCAAAATGACAATGTATTAACGTAGCGAAACATAACAATGTATAGTATTAACATAACACAACATAACAACACGATGTAAACATAACGGAACGCAACAACTTAACGGAACATAACGTAACAATGTATTGTATCAACATAATGCAACAGGACATAATGTATCATATCAACATAACGCAATATAACAATGTAATAATGTAAAGCAACAATGTATGGTGTAAACATTATGCAATAGAACAACATATCAAATCAACATAATGCAATATAACAATGCAACGTAACATAAAATATCATTTCAACTTAATGAAACATAACATTTCGTATTAACATAACGCAAAAAAGTTACGATTTGCATTAACATCAACATAATGCAGCAACACAATGTATCATATAAACAAAACATAACATAACGTATCATGTTAACATAACGCAACAAAGTATTGTATCAATGCAACATAGCATAACGTAACAATGTAATGTAACAATGTATCTAATCAACATAATGCAACAAAACATTTCATATCAACATAACACAACATAACGCTACGTAACATAACATAACATAACGTAACAATGTATCGTATCAGCCTAATGCAACATAACATAACGTTTCGTATTAATAACACAACATAATGTAATGCATCAACATAATGTAACAACAAATCTTATTACCATTTCGCAACAAAGTATTAAATTAACATAACGCAACGACAGTATGTAACATCAACAAAATGTAACATTATCAACATAACGCAACATAACGTAATTATCGAATCAATAACTCAACTCAACACAACACGTTTTCATACAAAATAAGTTTTATGAATTTGTATGAATTAACCACTTTTTCATAAAGCAAAGCAATATAACGTAAAGTTTCAATATAAAGCAACATAACATACCATATCCTATAAGCATAATGCAACATAACAATATATTGAATTAAGATAACGCAACAAAGTAACGTATTGCATCATTATAATGCAACACAACATAACGTAATACATCAACATAATGCAACATAACAAAGCAATGTATCAAATCAACATAACGTATCGTATTACAGAATGCAACAAAGTAACGTAGTGTAACACTTCATCAACGCAACAATATAATTATCGTATCAACAACACAACAAAAATAAGGACATTTATTTTCATACAAAATAAGTTGTATGAATTAGCCACTTTTCGGACAGAATGTATAAAATGTAAGCTTCCTTGAGAGAT